AACTTATAATATAAAAAATATAAGTTATTATAAATACTTATTAAAGACTTTTTTAAAAAGTATAATAAATATCTTATTTCTTTTAAAATACTAAATAATAAGAAAAAAAACTTTATAAAGCTTAAATTAGTAATCTTTAGCTATTACTATTTTACCTTTAAGTTTAATAAAGAATTCTTATAATAAGTATTTTTTTTTAACTAAAAATAGTAGCTAAAGTAATTAATTAAAATAGTTAAAAATAAAATAGAAAATTCTTTTAATAGGATTTTCTTAATAAGCTTAAAAAGTAATAAGCTATAGCTATAAAGCTTATTTATTAAGTATATAATAGTATAAAGAAATAAGTAAATCTAGCTTTTAGGATAAATAGATAGATTTTAATATAAAAGCTTAATTTCCTAAATATAGCTACTAATAGAGTTATGAATAGTATAAATAAATATAGTTAAAATCACATTAAGTTCTCTCGAAGAGGGGCTAACATACCATGGATTCAGTGTTCGGCCAGTAGCGTCTCAGTTCAAGAATCGCCTCAAAGTTTGATTTGAGTGCATCTCGAGTAGTTTGGACATCTTCGTCCACGTTGAACAGCAGCGTATGAAGTAAAACCGATGATGAAACTACTGCCATATGGCCAACCGTTGGATAGATAACTTCACAGTCTTGTCTCTGACGAGATAGTCTCACGAGATCACTATAAGAAGCAGCGTGGAACTTGCACTTGGCACGATACATCGACGCCAGAGGAGATGATGAGGCCGTGGGCTCGAGAAATCGAAAGTATAGCACCGTTGCATAGTGGTGATAGCCCAAGTGGAGAGCGACAAAGGCGCCGCCATGCCCTGCTTGATATATCGCTCGAGATTCTCTGTGCTCCATCTGACGTTGGGAGGGATTGTCCATTCCCAGTCCTCTAGTAATTTAGAGAGGGATGCGACAGTCGAATCAATCTCGTCTTTATCCACACTTCCGTAGACGCTACGATGATTGAGATCCTTAATTGGCCCAAACAGGCGGATTAATGAGATCTTATGTGCCCAAAGGCCCGGCTCCCAAGGGACATTTAGCTTGGTCTCATTTGGAGAGAGGGACTCAAAGATGGGTTCGTGCATTGGTAGATCAACAGCGAGATCGGTGTCGCGGATCAGAGGTGCTAATCCAAGACTGGACGAGGACCAGCGATCAGCCATGAACAGCGTCCACCACGCCCTTATCCTCATCTCGCGGTCTATTAGGTTTCCAGCCGCCAAAGAAGTGTCAGCCTCCATAATTTGCAATAGATTGACGCCTATGCCTGTGAAAGGTAAGTGGAAGACGAAGCATCTGGTTGATGTCACTCACGAAAGAAGAGGGTTTCAGAAGAAGGATTCAGATGAGCAGCAAAGAGATTAGCGAGCAAAATACATGTCTGCACATTCTCGATACAGATGTTTTCCAGGTCTGTCAGTAGCAAGCGCTTGGACTCGTTGTTGTAGCTGTTTTCCAGGCAGCGAATCTGCTCATCTTGGTCGAATCGGGAACCCATAGCGCAGAGGGAGAGCAGCAAAGCCTTGTTGATGGAGCCATCGCGTACTTGTTTCTTGAGGGTTGCTGGATGGAACAAGCTATGAGGTCGGTTGTGAAGCTTGACGAGGTAGTAATCCACCAAGCGAGCTGCGACTTCAACAGGAACGTCGATTGAACTGACCTACTGCTGTGTGGGACTCGAGTTCGGCAGCAGGGCATGGGCTCGGGATGGGGCACGGGTCAAGGAACCCGTGCACTTTAGTTTTTTGGCCTGGCACGGATCGCAAGAGTCTCCTATTCGACCGCTTTGGCGGGTGCATTTCCGCTTAGTTCTTCGGCACTCATGGCACGCTTTCGGGGGCTTCATCGTATTGAACGAGGATGGGCGCGTCCAGAGAGGGATGTTTCTGTTTGGAGGGATCTTAACTACAGGCAACGCAGGGGGCGGAATACGACGACAATGGGGTAAACCTGGAGGCGCTGATCTTGGCTTCTCCAGCATTTTGTCATCGGAAATGGCAATCTTTGATTGGCTCTTATGCCGATTGCCCCTCAACATGGTATGGGGTAAATAGCGGGGAACTAATCAATGTCTGTGCGCTTGTGAGAGTTTCGTATTTAGCTACCTGGTGTCTAAGCACATACAATATACATAGAGAGGAGTTTTGTGATACGTGCGCTTTGGTTCAATAGTATCAATGGCAACAGAGCTAAGCGGATTATGGGATCGAATCACACTGTACTTCGCATCTCTTACACCTTGATCCTACCCTGTCCTCGGGGAGCAAGAAAACACCGGACCTTGATATAAGGTGCCAAAATAAACTTAGCAAAATGCCCCTAAGCTTAAGCTAGGTTTACCTAAATGTTTTTATTGCTTAGGGTCAAGGGCCTGTGTTTTCTTTCCTCCCTTAGCCTGTCTCCCCATGGACTCGTAGTTAGTAGGTCATAGGGAGAAGGTGGCATCACTCAGGCTCAACAAATGGAATGGCAAGCAGCTAGTTCTGCCCGAGGTCATAATCTTCAACCATAAGTCAGGTGAAATATAAATATGTCCTGTTACGCCTGATGTTTGTTTTCACCCATCATTCACATCACCATCTTCCAACATTGTCAGCTTTTCTCAAGCTTTATTGACAGCAATGGTTGCAACCCATTTCTTTGCGGCTACAGCTCTCGTAGCTACAGCTCTAGCAGCTTCAGTTACACCCAGAGCTGCCAGCCCTTGGACCAACTTCAACGACAACGCGGTCTTTATGCCAAAGAAGGAAGCCACCAGCTGGGGTAATTGGTACCAGCCTTTCCTGTATTCCCTCCCTCAAGATATTGGGGGTTACAAAAAGGGAACAATCCTCCTGGCTGGCGTGTCGACTCCTCGGAACCTCACACAAGCCTACATCGATCTCTATGCAAGCACCAACCAAGGAAAAGATTGGAAGTTCGTCAGCCATATTGTCTACGGCCCGGGACCTGAGACTGTCAGCCAAGGAGACCGAGCTGTTTGGGAGCCTTTTCTGATGATGCACAACGGCCAACTTGTCGTCTACTACTCTTCACAAGCCGACCTGAAATATAATCAGAAGCTCGCTCACAAGACAACCAAGGATCTTCGCAACTGGAGCGAAGAGGTGAATGATGTCGCGTACGACAACGAATCGCAGCGGCCTGGTATGGCGGTAGTGGCATACAGTCCAGTGTCGAAAAAGTACGTCATGGCATGTGAGTATTGCGGTGGCCCTCTCACCGGAGGCTGCCCTATGTACTACAAAGTATCGCCAGACCCTCTTGCGTTTAGTGCGGCCACCGCGCAGCCCATCATGCCAAACGACCCCAGCCTTAACCCTAACGGAAGCCCCTTTATTATCTGGACTCCGGAACCTGGCAAGAATGGCAGGGGCATCTTTATTGCAAACGGAAACTCCCGAGAGGAGGTATTTGTTAATACTGATGAACTTGACCCGAATGGATGGAAGCCTGTCTCTGTCGGACAGTGGTCAGCCTACTCGCGAGAACTGCGCATCATCAATACCCCTAAGAACAGTGCGGCCAAAGGAAGTCCCAAGCTTCTTATCACCAATGGTGGAAATATAGGTTGCTCAGGATCATCCTATAACTATGTTGCTGACGGACTCGTTGATATTCCCACATATCCGGTCTCATAAGAAAATACTCCTAAAGCATCTAGTGGGAGCGAAGTTGATATTGGAGGTCAATTAGAAGAGATTAGCAGACGTTGAAGACGTGGACTTGGGCAGTGGAGAGTTTTAGGCTGTCAGTAACAAGGGTTTCGTGCACCAGATACACGATTAGTCTGTCATTTTTGTTTGAGGATAATACGTTAGTTATCTATCTACCCATCGCTATACTAAAAGTGTTGGCATAACTTATTTATATAAATAGCCGAAGATATACATGTTCATCATAGCGCAGCATAATATGAAAGACAATAATCTGAAAAGGGCTAAAAGTGCAGAAAGCTTAGTTTACTGAACAGAGCTTTATTGCTTTGGGAAATTTCTTGATGCCTACCTAACTATATTGCCCGAACTGACTTGATAAGAGTGTTATTTTGAGTTGATACACCCTACAGCTGATCCTCACAGGCACGGAAGGCAAGACCTTTTTAAAGCTTGATCAGGAGCATGTTATCAAACATGGACGGGTTTGGTTCACTGGTACTCGACACCGTACCTTTAATTTTGGGACCAACAAGAGTGGAGAATATGCTATCGTCAGGAGACTTGGCAATGTGTTAGCTAGATGCTGTAGCCCCTTTATGAACACGGTCTATGTTGCTTTTAGGTGAAAAATTGTAGATGCAGCCTCCGGTGAGAGCCACTTAAGGATAAATTACTTAGGCGGATGACCTTCTAGCTAGAAATAACTTATCAACAAAACATAACATACCTCAAACTGTCCTACATTGGCATGACATCCCAGTAGCTAGCCAGATGAATACGATGATTCCCTCTTCTTCTTCTATCCCTACGCTTTCTTAGCGACACGCACTTGACCAGCCACGTTTATAACTACGACATCACGTACTAGCGGTGAGGTAGCGGACGGTCGGTGGCTACATGTTCCGTAGCTTGTGCGCATATTGAGTTTCCAAAAAGTCCGCTCCGATCCGCGGCATCCACGAGGCACTTCGAAAGTCCGCCAGTCGATAACTAACCAATAGACAGGAAATAAAACAGAATAAGCTCAAACTTACTTTTATAAAGCAGAAGTATATAGAAGTATGTCGGTCGCGCTTGTGAGAAAAACATATTCTTATAACGTATATCTAGGAACCCAATTAATTCCCACTGACAACTCGTTCGCACCACCGCACAGTCAACCTTACCATGGCATCTCATAAGTCAACTAAAGGGTTCAGATCTAATCAGATTGGCATAAGAGTGGCTGATCTCGATCGGTCAATCGCGTTTTACTCCGGCATATTCGGGATAAAAGAAGTAGGACGAAGGGAGTTGAAGATCGCGACGCTAGTTTTTCTTGCATACCCTGATAATGCACCTCCGGACAGTTCTATGGTCGCCCGAGAAGGTATACTGGAGCTGGTCTTTAGCAAGGTAAGGCAGATCTTGGCAACACATGTAAGAAGCAGTATCCGAAACAAGCAGCTAACTATTCTACTCATAGTCGGCAAATGCAACTACCAGCTCGGATGATCAATTGGCTTCCCCACTTATCAAACTGGCTTTTAGTGTTCCGGACATATCGGCTGCAATGGAATACATTAAATCGAACAATGTCAAAGTACTGAAGGATGCTGGTATTGCTTCCGGGCCAGTGGAAGTGGCGAGATTTCTGGGGGCGAAACCATCCGACTTACAGCTCGACGATGAATTGTGGAATGCGCTTACAGCTGTTCCCCTTTTACAAGATCCAGACGGTTATCTTGTAGAAATTCTTCCAAGTAGCTTAGAAAGCTCTTAATAGCAGACAGTATCGAGGCAGTTGCTACACCGTCAAGATCGTCCTACACCAAGATGCACTCCCATTCTATAAGTTACAAAAAGGACCTTATCTGGTGATCTGTAACTTAGCCATTGCCAAGGATTGCTAATGTACTGCTTGTTGTAGCAAGCTGAGAACCAAGATAAACCTCAAAGACCAAATATTGGAGGGCGAGGCCCTGTAAGACCATGAAAACCTCCACTGGATTATGAAGGACCCTCCTAGACGTGCCTGCAACCTCGCTAGGGTAGATTACTGTTTGAGGTGCGACGGACTTTTTAAAAGCAGTGATACAATTGTGGCTGCCTGAACTCTTCATGAGACAACGCTTATCTGGTAGAAGGAATAACTGGTGACTCTCAGAACTCTGCGATTCGTGTGTCTCAGCTTCAGAAAGACACGAAGCAAGTAGCCAAAGATCGCGCCTTTGTATCTCTGATCAACTCGCGGCCATGAAGGCAATCTAAAGAGGACCATATCGCTCCGACGTTCCTCAAGTGAACATCTACCGCCGGTCCGCTCATCAACGCGAAAAGTACAAATCTCTCCAGATTTAGAAAAAACGGCGGCAAGATGATTGTCTTTGCTGGCTGGGCAGATCCAAATATTGCGCCTAAAGGGACACTCAAGCACGTTGAAGCTCACGCCGAGGGTACCCTCGGAAAAGGGCACACGATCGCAGAGAACGATTTCGTGAAGCTGGTCATGATACCCGGAGGGGGGCATTGCGGTTCAAACATCGCCAAATACCCTTCCGTCCCCACAAAGTATGACTTCTCTCCTGCCATTGCCGGATGGGTAGAAACAGGATCGGCTCCATTAAAAGGCATTCGAAGCTGGGATCCTATAGACGGAAACCTGAGGTCTCGAAGGCTCTGCACTTGGCCGAGGTTGCTAAGTACGATGGGAAAGGGGACGTGGACGATTGGAAGAGCTACTTCTCTGCACCGAATGACAAAGCTCTTCAAAGTCTAATCTGGCGACGTTGAAGATTTCAAAATAGTCTCTTTTAGAGAATGTCTGTATTTATAGTGACATGTAGCTATAGCCAAAATTCTAAGAGTCCTAGCGATCATGTCTGTCACTCCAAACGATTATCGCGTAAACCAGTAGCTGGAAGGACAGACAAGCAAGCAAGAGCTCAAATCCATTAGGATACAAAATTACAGGCGCATTGTTTCTCTGCTTGAATTGTTTAGGAGATGACTGTATTTAAGCTAACGGTATTTGACACGTGGCTTACGCATTGTCGAAATTTGGAGTTCAGCTCAGCTATGTATCAGGCTTTCATTAGGCATTACCCCCCACTGCCTAGTTGTTTTAAAAACACCTGCTTTAAATTATAAGGTATTATAGCCGAACACCCAGCAAGTCTAAGCCGAGAAACATCATCTCTCATCTGAGCTCCCGATAGGCCATGACCCCGTATTTGTACTCGCCATTACCAGAGGGTAGTATCCGCCTTCTTCGGATAACCCCGCACCCGGACAAGAACTCCCCAGTCCAATGCGAGCTGTTCGATTTTGCTCTGTCTGACTCGGAGAGCACCTACCCTTACGAGGCCTTGTCCTACGTCTGGGGGTCTGCAGAAAAACCTTTTTCTATCGTTGTAAATGACATTGACTTTCTCGTGGGAACAAATCTTTATGCGGTGCTAGTGCATCTTCGACATGGCTCTCTAGAGCGTATCATATGGATTGATGCAATTTGAATTAATCAAGGAGACACATTAGAGAAAGGCCAGCAGGTCCAGTCAATGGCCGAGATCTATGCCAAAGCCAGCTGCGTTGTTGTTTGGCTCGGGTCGGCGTCAGCTACCAGCGATCAGGCACTAGATAATATCCGCGAAGCAGCGCTCCGAAATTCGTCAGGGGGGAAACATCAAAAAGCTATTTTCCAGCTTCTCCAAAGGCCATGGTTTCAACGCATTTGGGTAAGCTACCAACTCCAACCTGGCATCAGGAAAGGTATTCATCAAGTCCATCCAGGTCCTACAAGAGGTTACCGCAGCCCGATATGTACTTATCAAGTGTGGCTCTACTGAGATTGATAGATATGCATTTTACTCAGGCCTAAACGTAATAGAGCTTTCCTATAGAACTTACCCGAGTTTGCAGCCCCTGGTTCGATCTGTTACCTATCTTATACGGGGAGCCATCTTCCGCCCTCGGCACGTCGCAACACAATCCAGTAGATTTTTACTCGACATACGTCCTCTGAGCGAGTTGGTTGAGATGTACCATACCCGAAAGGCCACCGAACGCCACGATAAGGTCTACGCTTTGCTTGGTATGAGCTCCGATGATCCCAGTGAAGCGGGGCTATATGTTGACTACACGATTCCATGGAGTCAAGTATTTGACAGGCTGGTTAGATATGTACTTTCACAATCGGTATCTGTGAAGACCTGGAGCGATAGGGAGCTGGCTGTTATCGAGGGAAAGGGCCTAGTTCTGGGTGAAGTCTCCCCGGTCCAAAGAGATCCGGCTTGGGAGGATAGTCAGGAAGTGACAATTGCCTGGAAGAATGCATATGTTGAGCCTGGCAGAATATCGTCTTGGGCAGTCCAGGCCTCTGCAAAGAACATCCAAGCAGGGGACATTGTGTGCCTTCTTCAGGGAGCATCAAGGCCCACTATCATCAGACTATGTCATCCTTACTGGGCCATTGTCATGATTTCGGTACCTCCTACAGACGCTATTGCCCGCGATGGCAAGGGCATCGAGTGGTCGGAAATATTACAGTCGGTCACTAGGTTCTCACACAGCTTTGTCTTTGTCTGGGACTGGGAGATGCATACAAATGAGTCTCTTGGTGATCAAGAAAGAAAGTACGAGGAACTCATGGTCAAAGAAATGCAGAAAGGCTTAATGACAGATAAGCTGTACATTATTGCAATACTGGCGAATATTGGATTCGTAATGCAAGATGTTGAAAGACATGCCGAAGCTGAGGAGTATGTCCGGAGATCGTTAAGAAAATTTGAGAAGACTTTGGAAAATGGGGACAAGTCCAACCCAGCCTCGAACCCCAGAAGTGGTACAAAGGCTGGGGCATACATTGCAGCGATAATCGAAGCTCTTCTTGGAGTTGAGGGCGGTTGGTTGCCACTGAGATGGGCGTCAGAGGATGGATACGACCTAACTATTAAACTTATACTTGAGAATGTCAACCCTAACATGGAGAATGAGGCTGGTCGAACCCCGCTCTCTTGGGCATCAAGTCATGGCTACGAGGCTCTTGTTAACCTGCTTCTTGGAATCGAGATTGTTGATCCAGATGCCGGAGACGAGAAGGGATGGGCTCCACTCCTATGGGCAGCCAGCAAAGGACATGAGACCATTGTTAAGCTTCTTCTTGACACAAAAAGGTTGATCCAAATGCCAAGGAAAAGTGCGACGAGACCCGACGAACAAGGCGAACACCGCTCTTACTCGCCGCAGAGGGTGGTCACGAGGCAGTAGTAAGGATGCTCCTTGATACTAACGCGGTGGACTTGAGCGCTAGTGCCGAGACTGGAGAAGCGTCTTTGCTGTGGGCCGTGAAGAACGGACATGCAGGGGTTGTTCAACTGTTACTTCAAACAGGAAAGATTGTTCCGGATGCTGCAGAAGAGAGTGAGATTGAAGACGAAAGCGGACGAACACCGCTCATGTGGGCAGTAAACAACCAGCATCACGATGTTGTTAAGCTTCTTCTCGATACTGGCAAGGTCAATCTGGAGACTAGAGACAAGTGCAAGAAAACAGCCATATCTCTCGCCGCGGAAAACGGCAATGACAAAATTGTGAAGCTGTTGTTGAGTACTGGCAAGGCCGATCCTGACGCAGCTGATAAGGATGGACGAACTCCACTAAGACTGGCGGCAGAGGGCGGGTTTGAAAAGGTTATTCAGCTGCTTCTTGACACAAACAAGGTTAATGCAAGTTTGAAAGACAATCGCGGACGAACGCCTCTATCGTCAGCCGCCAAGAACGGCCACGAAAGTATTGTCGGTATGCTAGCTGAGAGAAATGAGCTGAGCTTCCAAGACCTGCAACGCCAGATCCTAGCACCCCCCAAGCATGAGGACTTTCTTAACATCCGAGATGAGGACTACTTTGACCATCGATGTCAACAACTGTTTTCAAAGGTTCAACAGTGGATCCTACGTTTTTCAAAGTTTTCGGATATGCGCGCTGCTCGCTTGACATCAGAAATTGGCGACGAACAGATTATTGACAGGCTGGAAAACATCATACTCGATGGGTCAGATGTTGATACATATCTCTGCGATCGAGTACGTCGTCGCGATTTGTTTACATCCGTAACCATGACTATGCTCTGGGAGTTCGTCTTTACTCGCTACTTGTTTGGCCTGGATCGAGAAACAAGACAGAAGCTCAAAAGTCTCGAAAAGCAGCTTGTCGGACCTCCCTCAGCCATACGAAGATGGCGGGCCACAACTCTGACACTGTTGTCTAATCGCGACAGTGTCCAGAACCAGCGTGACCATGACGCTAGAGCCGTATCCGAAACTATCTTCCAGACCCTATGCGCCATTCTCCCACCACCTTCCAACCTGGAAACTCAGCTTGTTTCGAGTCTGTGGCAGGTGACGAAAGAAGCAGTTGAGGTTTCAGTCGAGATGCGCAGTCAAAAGGCAGAGTATATGATGCTCCCACCCCTACAGCCCGAGTATGATGTAAATGGTGACCTTGTAAGTTCTGTCTCTTTCAACGCTGCTTTGATGAATGAGCGTGGTGACAGTTCGGACTTTACTAATGAGGAGTATGAGGCTCAAGATTCAAAAGTGAGGATAATGTTGTTTCCCTTGGTTGTGAAGAAGGGAGGGGATTATGGTGACGGCGATGACGAGATTGTTGTTTATCCGGCTCAAGTGCTGGTAGCGCCAAAAAGGTCCGAAAAGAAGATCGCCGAAGTTGGTTCCTGAATTCTTACGGATCGACATTACTAGAGGTATATATAGATTAGTTAAGAACTTCTCTATATATATAATATTACTATTTATCACGGCTGCTCTCATCCAAAATATGGTATCTATGCATGTGCGGTATCATCCTTTCATGCCTCTGTACTCGTCAAGTCTGTCAATAAATATACAGCACTTCTGCATGCCGCGTTCTTGGGTTAAGATCCTGAACGCGTGTTGAATTTCTGACAGTGACGGCAGGCTCGGATCATTGATCTCAACTTTCTGAGTTCCTTGATCATATCGGAAGGGTCTTGTGTATGAGAGACGGCTTAGGCTCCAGAAGTTGGTATAGAAGTGCCCACGATAAGCCTTCAAAGGATTTCTGCTCCTCGGTTCCGAGATTGAGGAAGAAAAAGTCGGCCACCATGCACATTCTGGGATGAGGCCATTCTTTAAGGAGCTTGCGGGTGCGATCTGAGTAATAAAGACACTTCATAAGAGTGGACTTTCCACTGCCGGCTTTGCCGGATATCCAGTATACATCATGTGGGGAAGGTTTCCGGAGCCACTTGGACAGGTCGTGCCAGTGAGTCTCGTCCTTTTGGGGATAAAGAGCCCATTTAAGGGTGTTCAGATGGGCATCTGCAACGGTCTCCCGCCTTTCATATATCTTCCTGAACCAGAGTCGGTTAAGTATGATCTCCTCGCAAGCGCAGGATATGCTTCGTAGGGCAGACTCCGAAATGAATCTGTGTGTTCCCTGGGAGGCCTCAAGCAGAATATTTAGGTTTCGTAATCCAGAGACACTCCTCACGTCGTCATCGGCCAAGTCTCGAAGGGCGGGTCGTTTACTGGTGACAGACACCAGCTTGTCGAGACTCTCAATAAGATCTGCGAGATCTCTGATCAGAGTTTCAAACTTCTGTTTGTCTCGAACAGCCCAAACCGCCCTGCTGCGGAAAGGCTTGTCGCGCCCTTGTGCTATTCGTTTCTTGAAATCATCATGTTGAGTCTTGAATACTCCCATACGCCAGGCACTAATAGAGGAGACCGAAACAAGGCGCGTGGCTCCTTCTTGATCGTTTGCTTCGTCAAGTCCATACTTGTCCCTTAGAGTAGCCGCATCCGTTAGAAGAAGTCGAATGCAGCTTAAGGTATGACCCATTGCCTCCAGAGTGTGAGCTTGATCAAGACGTGGGTCATAGTCGTCTTGGCGTTAAAGGCCTACTCAGTCCACTGAAGCAGAAGAGTTTTCTGTATATCGAGTTTAATCCTCAAAATCTCATAGTCTCGCCCCAGGTCGCGAGAGTCGGCCGAGAGGCCGAAGAGGTCGATGGTGTCCTTAAAGGCGCCGATAAGACCTACAACCCCGACAGCCCCGAGTGCGAGTCCCGCAACTTCGGCCATGTTAAGGTTTTTAGCAAGTGTGGTTTTGTGCTCGAGAGAGTCAGGTTCTGCTTTAGATTAAAAACTACATGCTTATGCAAACCGAGGAAAGAGTCCTATTTCAATGTAAGGGCTGACCTACTTTCAACCCCCGCTTATTTGCACGAGGTCAGTCGACTCAACCCCACCACTTAACGCCACTACATGAGCGCCGAGCAATTCCCTGACGGCCTGGATTGCGGGGCAACTTAATATCTTATTTCTCCTCTGTATCAATACTGCTTAGATTAGAGCAGCAGGGAGCAGCTGACAACTTTACGCTGTAGTAATTGGTTAGTTATTATGATGTAATGCCTAAATCGTTAGCTAGATGTATTATTTGCAGTTGAGGTTTATGGCTGAGGACTTAGCCCTGCAGATAGAACTCAGAGCAGCTGACAGGCAGTATGAAGGGTGTTATGACTGCTCTGCCTTGTTTTGCAGCTGGAAAAATGATCGACGGCACCCACAATGTCCCCCGGTCGCGGCCAGGCCAGCGAGTGGAAACCATTGGCATGAATGCCCTACGAATGCGCTGTGATGTGATGTGGCTTGCATGCTCACCGAGTCTTACAGGAAGGGTATGTCTTCATCGATACTTGAGATTGGGCGTTCGTGCCCGATGAGCAACGCCCAGCCGCATATCACTGGGAGTAAGAAGCAGCTACGCCGTGCGAGTGGCGTTGACTACGGTGGAGGTTCATAAAAAGATTCGAGGGCGAAAATGGACAAAGGTTATTCGAAATTAATGCAACCCGGAGAGGGAGGCCTGGGGAGGATGCAATGCGGGGATGGTGAAGGTAGAAACACTCGACGGTGGTCGAGCGCATGCTCAGCTCAGCTTCTGAACCATTATGCACCCGTCTCAATCAAGTCGTGGCGGCGTGCGCAAATGCGCTATAACCGGGAAATGTTCTGCTTCAGGCATAGCAAAGCAGGCGAATCAGAACGAAGTTTGGGTCCAGCCATTCAAATTCAAACAACTGAGTGCTGTGCTCCGCCCTGCTGCGCCCGCATGGTTGCGATAACTCGGCCACATATACAAGTCCTTGGGGGGGCGATACCTCCTGTCGTCTTGCAGAGAATTCTGTCTGCTTCATTCCCCCCCCAGAGAAAGAAATCGGATACCTCCACAACAGGACCCCAGACGGTAACTCACAATCCTTAACGCTCTCCGCTCCAAATTCTATCGACACCCATCGAACGTGGAATCTCTGATCTTAACTCCCGAAAGATGCCCGACATTAAGATTTTGAATCTGATCTCTACAGTCATGTGGATTATAGAGAGCATCTTGGGATGCTTACCAACTGTTCAGGAACAATGAAACTGTCCCAGAGGCGTTTTGCAGAGTGGTTGAAAGCCTCGCACTTGTCCAGGGCATTCTCCGAGCTACCAGGGAGCGCATTAGGACAGATTTCTACGAGGAGGTCTACCAGATGATCGAGACTGTCGTGAGAACGTGCAAGGTCAAGGCAGAGCACTTGAATGCAATATTCCATGCTGTTGCTACGACGGAAGGTATATTCATGCTCGAACGCTACCGAGCTGTCGCGCGACGATTGGGAAAGGGAAACGAGGTGGAAGTCTTAGCAATGGAGATGTTGCAAGATATGCGCTTCTTGGTAGAGAATCGCGCAGTTCAAACGACAACTGAAGCCAGCGATGCGCAAATCGATGAAGCTATTGAGTATCTGCCTCGCGTACCGCCCTCGATGCCAGACGAAAGTTTAATACATTCTGTACCCGTTAATGAATGCATGGACAACTACGGCAAGTACATCAGTATTCACTTTACCTTTGGAAACACCTTCAGCAGCAGCGGCACCGTCAGCAACGGCACTATCATCGAAGACACAGTCACCTGGGTCCACGATGTCCAGCGAGCTGTAGAAATACACCCCTTGATTTGGGAGCTCCCTTGGTTTGAACAAAGTAGTAGACCTCCGGTGAGACTCCCGTGGAATCCCTGTGTGACGAAGGATTGCGTATTACCAAACGGTCATTTGTCTTCACACGAAGTCTGGAAGCCATGCACCATTGAAGACTGTAGCCGACACCAAGGCCACGGCGGAGACCACATAATGAGAAGTGAAGAGTTGAGTGAGATTAATGCTAGGTTCGAAAAGAGAGCTAAGGCCGCCCAGATGTTTTGGAGAGAGCTCGCGGATACGGTGCTTGAAGCCATGGGGTATCCTCAGCCTGAGGATCGATGGAGATCTAAGATGGCGAGAACCATCATAAAACCTTTCGAGAACACCAGAAGAAAGCCACTGATTCAATCTGCGAGCTTACCCAGAGGAATACCTTCATCACCCTATCGTAAGTTTGTTCTCGAGAATCGACAGATCCGCTTATTCCAATTGGATCCTGCAACGACGACAAGTATCACGGGCTCTTTCATCTGCGCAGAGCTATCGTCGCGTCCTGTGTATACCGCGCTTTCTTACACATGGGGTGACCGAGGAAACGAGCGGAAGATCACGCTCCTGAATCAAGGCGAGCTTGCAATCGGGGAAAATCTGTATTCCTTTCTACGCCTACAGAGCTCAATCATCACTCAACCAACCTCGTTCTGAATCGATGCTGTCTGCATTGATCAGGCAAATATCCATGAGCGCAACCATGAAGTCGGACTTATGCGACAGATCTACAACAGCGCCGCCAAGGTCTATGTGTGGCTCGGGCAGGAGGACGAGAGTAGTGACATCGCGATGCGGTTCGTGGTAGCGCAGGCTTCCAAGCCTCTCCGTCCAAGAGGTTCAGGATACCATGCCCTATGGTCGAGGCGGGAAGGCAAAGCCCTTCACGCCTTATGCGATCGACGTTACTGGAGGCGCATGTGGATTATTCAAGAACTCCTTCATGCTAACGATATTACCGTCTGGTGCGGCTCGCTCAACTTTTCGTGGGACGATATAGAGAAACTCTATCTTAAGCTCAAGACAATTGAAGAGTCCCACTGGTTCGCGCACCACGCGAGAGGTATATTTTGCTGTTCTGCAGCGCGTTGAGGGACAACAGGAGCAGTTCCGCGCCTTGCTTTCGCAGACTTTTGGTCTAGCGGGTCGTGGCGTTGATTTGCATGGACAGAACATGTATTCTCTTCCAAAGAATACCCTCGGTACGAGCTTATGCTGATACGAGAATAGGATCGAGTACAGTACACCTAACGCCCAACGACTAGTGTTGAAAGCAAGGCAGAATGACTGGACTGACGGTGTTGTATAACTACTACTGCTATCGAATCAGAGCGATATATCGGCTGTTGTGAGACTCATGGATTTTGCCACCATCAACTTGGAAGGGGCCATTAGGTCATGTTAACGCCGGGTACTTGTTGCTAGGTAAGTTGTCTGTGCTGAGTTAAGCTCTTAGGTCAAATTCCTAACTTCAAATTATGTTTTTAGTGAGTACTTTAGATGTTGTTGACGAAGAGGCTATGGGTATTGTACGATCGTTTGAAGCATGGTGAGCTGGGCTTGAAGCGACGAGAGTCCCCACGGAAGGCGTCAACGCTCGAGACTCTTTAAAATCTCATAACGAGCAAATTTTTAGTCGCTGTTAGGCCAGATAGAACGAGTTCATTTTTGATACTCCATTTCAAATTAGTTTACAAGCCAGAAGAACAAAATAGAAAGCCTGATTCCTTGATAAGACAACCAGTACGAGCGATAAGCTAAGTCATCTTGAAGCCTTATTATACCTTGTCCGCCGGAATAATCCCGGTTGCCCTGAACTAACGTTAGAACAAACTTAAACATCCCCCGACGAACTGTTACTGATTGCCTCAGCTTGGGCAAACGCCCTATTCTATATTTATAACCCGAGGATGGATAGTCCTGTGTAGGAAAGAATACTCAAGATCTTAATACTAAAATCTAAATATTTAGGTCATTTAGCCCAAGCTTAGGGGGCTCTTTACTAGCTTATTTTAGTAGCCTTTTGAATAAAGTCTTAATAACTTTCTGCTTCTCGAGGACAGTTTAGCTCTCCGCTGATATTTCTGAAACTAAATAAGTTCCTTGACAAATTGCCATTGTTTGAGAAGTACTATAAGCAGAAATATCCTTTATTGAACTATTCGACTTAGCGTTAGGTAGCGAATTAAAGCTCGTCATATCATTACAATTTTCAGACCGTCGGCCTGACTCAGCCACGTTCGTTGATTGGCCCATCTTCCGCCCCTGCCAATAGGAGAAATAGAGGATGCCTGGATGCTCAGCACAGCCTCCACGGTAAATCCCTTCCATGATCCATTTTGTCATTCTCCTCCTCTTTAATACCGCGATTTCGCCTTTGATTGTAATTACTGAGTGACAATAGCCTTCAAAGCAATGGCTAATATCCTCCCTCACGAACTTCTCACCAAAGTGTTTGAGAACATTAGCTCTTGCGACAGTCAGAAATCTACCCTTCATTCTTGTCTGCTCGTTAACAAAGAATGGCATGATGTTGCTCTTCGCTTGCTATACAAGGACCTCGTGTTCTTTGTCAACCCCAGGCTGGATCTCTTTAAGGCATGCCATGATCGATGGGCCGTTACTGCTCTGACACGGTCTTTGACTCTCTACATAAATTGCCCACCAGGCGGTTTTGACCACGACACTCATGATCCATTCCTTCAACTGGCGACGGCTGTAATTCCGCACATGAAAAAACTCAGGTCTTTCTCTCTAGCGCGCCATCATCGAGACGCGTTCTGTTATATTCAGAAGTCAATTGTTTCAGCTATCCTGAGAAGCATTCCGTCAAGTTGCACAGGCCTAGAGCTTGATTTGGGTACATCGGATAACATAAATTACAATCTCAACGAACCCAAGCCTCATCTTTGCGAGGATTTGCGCACCATACTGCCACGAATGCAGCACGTCCATATCGACATGAGCTCTTTGTGCGATGCAATGTTTGGCACTTGGGACTCGGATGACTGCTTCCATCCGATTGCTTTGCCAAATATACAGAGCCTCCACGTTGATTGCGTGGGCATGCAGCACAAGACGCCGTGTCCAGAAAGGCATCAGCAGGATGAGGGGTCAGTCTGGAAATCGATCATTACAGCCCTGCAGCAGGTAGTTGAGCTGCCAGATACCGCAGCTGACCCAGATATCACTATTTTGGGTTCATCGGCGCCGTTGAGCTCCTACAAACGAAACATTTACACGACACTATTGCGCTGTCATATAAAAAGAGGGCGGACTACGACTTGGGCTTTTCCTACCATCAAACACGTAATTGAGGGGGCGGTGCAAGGTCGGTATTGGAAGCTGTCGCTCATTTACATGCGTTTGAATAACGAGGCGTATATGACTGATAAGAAATGGATCTATCCGTTAGCTGCCGGACGTCCATGGAGGATTCTCAATACAGACGCGAGACTACCTACTTCTTGGAGTAGCAGTGCAGAATGGGTGCCAGACAGGAAGCTAAAAATCAAGGCCTGGGATACGTGGGCGAAAGAGAAAATAGGTGAGGGGCCTATGCTGCTGAAGAATGAGGAACTTGCGGGGATGAGGCTCATAGATGCAGAGGAGCGTGAGGGTCATGAAGAGGTTTGCCTGGTGGAAAAGACGCCGGCTGGGTTTCTCAGGCCAAGTCGCTATTACGGAGGCCAGCTTTTTAGGGCAAAGGAACAGTAATTCATTATGAAATATATATGAAGCTAGCTAGGGGAGGAAAGAAAACATAGGACCTTGATCCTAAATAGCCAAAAGAATTAGATAACATAGTCTAAGATTAGGATACTTTTACTAAGTTTATTTTACTACCATATATTAAAGTCCGATATTCTCTGATCCCAGAATGTTAGCTAGTAAACGGAACTAAAGTCCAGAAATAATATCTGAGTAACCAATGCACCTTAAGCTTCCATGTCAAAATGTCCTAGTTGCTGAGAACAGGAGACTGTCCGTCCCAGTCGCTGCTTTCAGCTGCATCAATAAGCCACTTTCCAACACTCCCCCTAGTAATCTTGGGCATCCAAGCGCAACCCTTTCCATCATCAGGCCAAACCTTGACAGGCTGGGCTTCACCCTCCCCAAGCATAACGGGCCGAGAAAGGACAAAAGTCAGCCCACTCTCTCTAACCAGACGATCAACCTCGTTATGATCCTTGAGGCCAATGCCCATACTTCCGTGGCTAAAGATCATTTTTCCAGGGAGATTCATAGAGCGCCACGATGATCCAGCGCCTTGAGCAGAGTTTACCACGATCTTTGGGGAGATATTTGCTTGGGAAGTGGCAGCGAGGAGAGCACGCATGCTCACAGCCAGGAAATCAGGTGTAGTGTCAGGGTGCAGAGCTGCGAAAGGCGACTCTGTGGCTCTGACCTGCGCAAGAGCTGAGATGACTACATCCGGAGGTTGAGGTGTTGTAAGAGCCCTGACGATGTCGGACTCTGAAGTTGGTGTTCCCTGGACGAGGGTGAGGTTGGAGTGAGAAGGGAGTTTGGCGGAGTTTGTGTTGCGGACGAGGGCCGTTACTGTGTGGCCGCGGGATAGAGCCTCTTGGACGGCCAAAGAGCCGTTGCGGCCTGTTCCACCAATGGAGAGAAAGTGCATTTTGAAGTGAATTTTGGTGGAGAAGCGGTAGTTGTTTTGACTGGGGTAGATCTGCGCAGATCACAGATGCCAAGTGAGGATGAGGGTTAGAAGGCGCTCAGAGTATGAGACTGGGTGTTCAGGGGGAGGGTATTTATGATGTTTCGAAAAGTTTCTGAAGGAGTTGATTGTGAATGTGAGTGAACCGATGAAAAAAACCTACTGCGCGTCACATACTCAGTCTTTATAGCATATCCCCTTCCCATTATCCCGGCCGAGTCACTCGGACCCGATATCTCGGCCGGGCGGTTACTATGGCTATGCGAAAACCGCGCCGCAGGTTGGAAATCAGCACTAGCAAGTCCGAGCATTACAGCGGGCGCATCAATAAGCGACCTAGCCTATAGATGATCATTCAGAGAGCGAGCTAGCCTGAGGAAGAGGCAGTGCTGATCGTTAGCCGGCCGAGAAGGAATGGATATCGGCCGGATGGATCGACTCGGCCGGTAGAAGAGGAGTTCTGGTCAAGATGATTGGCTGAGACGGATGAGAGCGGCACGATTGTGTGAGAATGAAGGGATTTTTGGCAAAAGACCGAGACCGAGTAAATTACCGCAGGATGGGGATTGCTTTATTATAGGATTGTGGGAGGATTCGGGAGGAAGGGTGGTTGCGGGCGTTGTGTATATATAGGAGGCTATGGACAAGGTGGTGATGCATCAGAAACTCACCAACTCATCAATCATACCTATATTCACATCTCAGAACACCAAAACAAGACTTTCACTCTATACATCTTCAACTCCAAACCTGTCTTCTTCCCTTCTTCAAAGTCACCATGCCATCCCCACAAGTCGCCATCATCGGAGCAGGCCTCTCGGGTCTCGCCCTTGCACTCGCCCTTCACCAACAAGGCATACAATCCGCCGCCTACGAACAGCAAAGCGCACCCCTCGACATCGGCGGTGCCATCATGCTATCACCCAACTCCCTCCGCGCCCTAGACAAGCTCGGCGTCTTTGAACGCCTGCTCCCCAAGTCCTACAAATTCCAGGACTTGTATTTTTACTCCCAAGACGATAAGCTCGTGGACGTCTTTGAGTTTGGCAATCAAGAGAAATATGGATACTCTGGTATCCGTGTTTATCGCTTTGAGCTCATTAATGTTCTTCTTGATCTTGTTAAAGAAGCGGGTATCAAGGTTGAGTATGGGAGAAAGTTTGAGAATATTGTTAGCGAGACGGAGGATAGTGTCACGTGGCGCTTTACGGACGGGAGCGAAGAGACTGCTGGTCTTCTTGTTGGAGCTGATGGTATTCACTCTCGTGTCAGAAAGTATCTCCATCCAGACCTAGAGCCAAAGTTTACCAACATGATCGGTGTCACAGCTGCTGTTCCTGCCAAGCAGCTCAAGTTGGAGAACAACGAGTACAAGCTTCCAGCTACCTTCATGCACGACAAACGCGGCGCCTTCGTCATTGCACCACAGTTATCTGATGGTTCGGAAGTTTTAATCGGAAAGCAAAAGGTCTTTGTCGGTGAAGATCCAGGCCGTGATGCTTGGAAGGCGATGAACTCTGATAAGACGTGGTGCGTTGACTTTCTCCGCGAAGGCAACGAGGATTTCCCCGCCATCGTCGCAAACTC